AGGACAACCCTGTGCAGTGTATTATCACAAAGGCATAGTAGGTCCTAAAGCATATACAAAGCCAAGAAAAAAAAATGATCAAAGTGATTTTTTTTAGTCCTAACCTTGAACTTTAACAGTTCTACTTAATAGAAAGAGACAACCGCTCAGAAAGGTTATCTAGAAAGACGTATTTTCTAGCAGAGTCAGCTGTTCTTCAGTTAAATTCAGGAAGTGCCCCTCACTCTCCAACAAGGGGGGAAAAGAGGCCAGTGCAAGTCTCCTTAAAAATTCAAGAAAATTCATGTGTCAGAAGAGGAAGAAAAAGAATCCCAGCAGAGATTTTTCCTCAGGAAAAGAAAAAAAACACCCACAGAACTGGGAGAAGCTGAACCTTTAGAAGTGACAGAGGCATTTATGTGACCGCCATCGCCTCCGACAGAGTCCCTCCCAGCGCCTATGGCTGTATCAGAGCCATTCCTTTGTGCTGAGAAGTCCCACATAACAATCACACTAGTTCTAATAGCATACAGAATAATTACAAAAACGCTTATTTCAGTTTCCAGGAGTTTTGATTTTAAGCTCTGAATGCAACAGTAACACAAGGAGTTCCTGACACCCAGTGTCTTGGCATATCCTTTGAGTACGAGTCTCAAGTTATGTTTTTATGTGGTCACTGAATTACGTCTGACAAAGTGCTTCTCATAGAAGCAATGACATTATGAAAACAGGACAGAAACAAAATGAAGTTGTACTGAATTTGTTTTGAATTCATTTAAATGTATGCCATTTTTCCTGAAAGGTACAAAAGTTAACAGTTTGAATTTATTAGGACAGTAGACAAAAAAAACAAAAGCAAAAACCACTCAGTACAAGCTTCTTGCACAGAAACACCATGTTTCAGCCTGTGTGGAAAAACTTCAAGTTCCCTCATCTGCTGTAATTGTCAGAGTTTTCAATGTTTGCCAATTATCTTAACAACGTTACATATGTTAAAAATAAGTCCAATGTAAAGTGCACTTGGAGCTTAGCTCATTTCATGTGTGCCAGAAAGGAACCATTATATGATTTTCGATTACCACTAACATTGCCTGGATTTTAATTTGCAGCAGAAATTGTAAGGCTAGAATTCGCTAACCAATCCTCTGAGAATGTTTTCACTGAAAATTACTTATTAAGGAAAGAGAACTTTAGTTTATGTGCATTTTCGGTTGGCTGTTATATGTTAATATACCACAAGACATGCATTTTATTTACAATAATTAAACTGCAAACTAGCTTTAAATTAATTTGTTCTCAGATTACAGTTCTCATTTTGAGATTTTACTGCGCTCTAATTTTGGTACATTTTCGCTCAAAATACAAAAGTAAAAGCAAGGCAATTTGTATTTTAAGATACTCTTGTTCGTCTAAGAGAGCAGAATCTTAAAAAGGACATAACATTAAGAAAACCTAACACACCACAAATCTCAAGCTACATGTTCTGAATGTCAAGGCATGACATATAAATAGTGCTTCATAACAAATGTTTGTTTAAATGCTGCCACTTGTTTCTCATCATAGAGAGTAAAGACAAAACCACACAGCAATGATAACTCCTTATCTACACAGTCTATGGTTCAACACTCTGCAGGCTGCAAAGAGGACAAAAGCAGCAAATGCTACCTCTCCTACTGCTTCTGAATAGGTGAGGAAGCAGAGAGCTGTCTTCCTTTAAACGCTTTACTTAATGTCATAAACTCGCTCAACTAAACACATATTATGGCATAAAATCTCAATCCAGAGCAAAATTCTGTTCTGCTAGGTGTCAGACAGAGAGACTGATAAAGCAGCAATTCGTATTTTAAAAGGATTGCGTTTTTGTTTTTTTAATTACAGACAGATGATGTTTCAGGGGTCAGAATAAGCAAACAAATACGGTTTCAGATACCTGTTCTGGTATCAGTCTAATCTGTGCGCTCACAGGAATCGATGACGTATGCTTGCACATACAGCATCTATTTACTTAGGCTGCACTGTCTAGGTAAGTCCAGCTTCTCCCACCCTGAAAGGACTTCCAAGAGGTAGGCTTCGCATTATTCATCTCCCACTTACCTTAAATCTACTTAAATGAATCAGTGCCAAAAGAGTCTTTCAAGCATTTCATTTTTGCCACACCATCTTTTCTTCTGCTAGCTTCATTTTCCCAGCTGTGTTACAATTTCTATAGTCCCTGTCTTACAATTTAGTTTTTCCGTACTCATACATCTCTTTTCTCTTTAGGTCACAATCTGACACATCTCTCAATCACTGATAACTAGCCTCTTGCACACTTTTCCTACTACGTTGCGTCTTGTCCCTTATGGAGTAGAACATATTCTCTAAATTAACATACGGAATTAGTGTCTCATATTCAGCCACAAGCCCTCCATTAAATATCAACAGCAAGCTACACAAAGTTGGTAGCTAGCCATGTAGTATAGTCAGATTTTCTTCATTCAACGGAAAAACAAAAAATATGGACTCCGAAATATGCAGTTGGCTAAATATTAAATAACTATAATATCACTGAAATCTCAAAGGAAGATCAGGGCTCCATTTTGCTACGGACCACTGGCAATGGCAGACTGCTAGAAATCTTGCATGTGATGGGATGTTAAGAAATCACATATAAGTTTCATTAACAGTAGTGATGAGGTAACATAAAGCAGCAAAAGAAAACCCCAAGAGTAACAGCACTCCCTTATCAAAACAAACACATCTGGTGAGCTGGAGATGGAACAGCCAGCGTGTCAGTCCTTACCTACACTCAGTGGAATAGGTCCAGTAAAGTGCTCCAAGGGTGAAGGGACTACTTTAATTTTTGTACATTAGAGTTTTAGTACTTGCTCACAAGAAACAAAAATGCCTCTGTATGTCCTTATTACTCCTTTAGCTATTAGCAAAAAATGGCATGTGTACCAGACGATAGAAACAAACATTAAATCATTTACTTCTGCAAGAGATATGGTTTATACATCTATATTTCTATGACAAAGATGAAGAAAATGTGTTTTTCAGATATTCAACTGATTACTGTGTAGCAAAAAAAAAAACAAAAGCCACCCCATGAATTCTACTGCTGGAGCAGTTTAGGTTCTAAATGACAGTCTATCTTTTAACTTGAAGGAAAAAAAGAAGGCCTGACAGATCAAAAAAAAGAAGGCTTCCTAGTGGATGCCCTATCTTCTACATATTTATCTGTAACTTTAAGATTTGTATTTGAAGATGAAACATTTCTTCCCATTAGTTTATTTTCTATTTTCTAAATAGAAAATAAACCAAAGATAACATACACTTAATTATTCTAACAGTCCCCAGGAATCAGATTCTAACTGCCATACCTGATGTAGAACGCCTACATTTTACACTTGGGACAGAATAATCCCACAAAACAGGACAGGCTGCTGACTGAATGACCAAAGAGCAGCTTTGCAGAGAAGGACCTAAGGGTCCTAGCAGACAAGGGGAACAGAAGTCACCAGTGCCTCCTTGCAGCAATGAATGCTAACAAATACTGGACCACATTCACAGGAGAATGGCCAGCAGGTCAAGAGAAGCAATTATTCCCCTCTATTCAGCACTCATGAGACCGTATCTGGAGTACTGCGCGCAGTGTTGGAGCCACCAGTACAGGACAGCCATTGACAGACCAGAGCAGGTCAAGCAGGTGGCCACCAAGACAAGTCAGAGGGCTAGAGCACACGATGCATAAAGAAGGTCTGAGGGAGTTAGGTTTGTTCAGCCATGAGGAAAAGGGAATATAATTGCCGTTTTCAACTACCTAGCGGGGGTTATAAAAGGAGACGTCGCTGGACTCCTCCATGGTGTGCAGTCAAAGGACGAGAGGCACATCTGACAGCAAGGGGAATTCCAGCTAGGTTTAAGGAAAAAGACACATTCACAGTGAGGGCAGTCAAGCACTAGAAAAGGTGGTCCAGAGAGGCTGTGGAATTTCCATCCTTGGAGATACTCAAACGTGGACTGGACAAGGCCCTGCACCACCTGATCCAACTCTGAAGGAAGCCCTGCTCTTTTTAATCAGGCTAATATTATACTATCCTCAGTGTACAGCACGTATTACTAACATTGATTGGGATTAACATCCACTGTGCAGTCTTATGCCATAATCCACCCAGCTATTCTTTCCTCAGCTATTTTACACCGACCCTCTTCTCTTGTGGCCCCAACTGAATCCCAGGATCATCTTTCCATCACATTTTCCTCAGGACTTCTCTTGTGCTTTCAATGGCCAGACTCAACTGTCTTAGAGCCTCCTGATCCCTGACCCTCACTCACTCCCTCATTTGATCAGCAGACATTACATCACACATTTTATCCAACTTCTGAAAAGCAATAGTGAGAACAGGACCTTTTTTCCAGGCAGTGTAGTTTAGGCTCATTTTTCACCTTCTTTCCCTTGGCAAAAAGGTCAACATTTCACAAAATCAGTTATCTGTAAGTTGTCCAGTCAGTCCTAAAGCCTGCTTTCTAATCTGAAAGAGACTGAAATTTAACAAACCAAACAAATTTGATCTTTGTAGATCCATGCCTAACACCGTGGGCAAAATTTTGCCCAAAACTAGATGCCTATGCGACTGCAGC